TTACATTTAAGATTTGTTTTCAGCCAATAGGAGCCAGCAGGGATGTTCAAGGAGGGAAGAACAACAGATGTTTCTCCTGACATTACGGAGATCAAACCCATATGGAAGATTTAGCTCTTTTTCTCCTATATCAATATTTCTTCCCCAAAGATACGAGAGTAACTTCTGTGTACTGAAAATCATGCGCCTTGCTTTAAAAAAAAAAAAAAAAGACTTAGAAAGGATTGTCTTGTAAAGTTGCAAATTCTAACCCGGTTCCTTGAAAGTAAATGCTGTATAAACAACTGCAGGAAAAAGTCTTCCATTTGCATCTTTATAAGAAAAGAGAAACAACACAGAAGAAACAGCTTTTAAAACGGTTCCTTTTTTCTTTTGCTTATAATGGTTTTTAAAAAATTTTTTCTCCTATTGTTTTGCACCAAATGCAAGAATCACAAAAGTAGCTGGGTTTTTTTTTGTCTTTGATCCTCAGATTGAGGCAGCTGGGTGTGACTGCCTCTTTCAGCCAATTGTAAAGTGGGCAATTTGCACCCACGTGCAAATCTTGAAACTTCCTCCAAGGGAAGAGTTTTGCAGCAAAAAGTAACTGAAAACGGAGACTCTGGATTTGTGTCCTTCCACAATAAGCACCTGGAAATAAGAGTATCAATTTTAAAACAAGCTCAATATATTTTTTTTATTGCATCCTTTCCTTCTTTGCACTAATGGAGAGAAAGAAAGTCTATTGCCCCGCCCTGCCTATGGCAGGATCCTTATAGTATCCAGAAGGCTTAGTAAGTCCTCCACAATAGCTATGTTGCATTTGGGGACTCTTGACTCTTTCAATTTGCACAATGGGAAGTTCTTCAATTTAACTACATCAGTTGCACTGATTGGCAAGAGAGAAGGTTGCCCACGGAGAAGACAGCAAGGACCAAACAGAAGGGCACAGATGCCCTATAAAGTACATCAGGACTTTCCAAGCACTTTGTGTCTAGTCATAACAAAGATGGGTTGCCATCTTTTCAAGAGTTCCTATCATCAGGTTAGGGATTTACAACCTTTTAAAAAAATATATTTATTTTATTTTAATTATAAGAATACAACACGGTGCAGCCGATCTGGCATTACAATTGTTATACATATATACATTTTACTTCATCATTTACAGTCTCCTCGTTTGATATATTATTTACTAATTATTCTAATCATCATAGCTACTTATGTTCCAATCTTGCCTTCTTCTATGTAACATTGATAGAATTTATTCCATGTTTCATAATACTTAGATTCTCTCTTGTTTTTTTTTTTTTAATTCTAGAGTTAAGCTATCTGATTCTGCACAGGCCATAATTTTTCTTATTATCTCTGTTTCTGGTGGTATGTTTTCCTTCTTCCAGTATTGTGCATATATTATTCTAGCCGCCATCAATATATGTACTATTAGATAAATTAAATCCTTCCTATATCTTTCTGATATTATTCCTAGGAGAAAAAATTCCGGTTTAAATTGAATACACTCTCCCACCATTTGATCCACCTAGGTCTGAATCAGTCTGAATCAATATTTTTTTGCAGCATTGCAAGGACTTACAACCTTTTTTGATGGCTGGGAGTGATACTTAACCGGGGGAGAGGGTAACTTGATAGCAGTGTTCCAATCTCTCCTGGGTTGCCAGATAATAGATAATCAGAGTTGGAAAGGACCTTAGAATCCAACCTCCTGCCCAAGCAGGAGACCCTACACCATGTCTGACAGATGGGAGTCCAATCTCTTCTTGAAAGTCTCAAGTGATGAAGCTCCCACAACTTCTGAAGGCAACTTCTGTTCCATCAGTTGATTGTTCTCATTGTCAGAAAGTTTCTCCTTATTTCCAGGTTGAATCTCTCCTTGATCAGTTTCCATCCATTATTCCTTGTCTGGCCTTCAGGTTCCTTGGAAAATAGCTTGACCCCTTCCTCCTCTCTGTGGCAGCCTCTCAAATATTGGAAGACTGCTATCCTGTCTCCCCTGGTCCTTCTCTCCACTAGACTAGCCAAGCCCAGTTCCTGCAACCGTTCTTCATATGTTTAGCCTCCAGTCCCCTAATCATCCTGGTTGCTCTTCTCTGTACTTTTTCTAGAGTCTCAACACCTTGTTTATAGTGTGATGACAAAAACTGGATGCAGTACTCTAGGTGTGGTCTTACTAAGGGTTTATAGAGTGGTATTAGTACCTCCCTTGATCTTGATTGTATCCCTCTGTTAATGCAGCTTAGGGTTGCATTAGCTTTTTTGGCTGCTGCTGCACACGGCTGGCTCGTATTTAGCTGGTTGTCCATTAAGACTCCAAGATCCCTCTCACAGTTACTGCTATTGAGCCTGGTTTCACCCCAGTCTATATAGGCCACAAAGAAGAGGGAGTCAAGCCATTCTCCGAAACATCTAAAGGCAGGACAAGAAACAACAGGTGGAAACTAATCAAGGAGAGAAGCAACCTAGAACTAAGGAGAGATTTCCTGAGAGTGAGAGCAATTAACCAGTGGAACAACCTGCCTCCAGAAATTGTGAATGCTCCACACTGGAAGTTTTAAAGAAGAGATTAGAGAACCATTTGTCTGAAATGCTTTCCTGCCTAAGCCAGGGTGGGGTGGTGGGTGGGGTGTTGGACTAGAAGATATCTAAGGTCTACATCCCAAGAAAATAACCCCCAACGTTTTGGTGTGTATGGCTCATCTTTGTTGAAAAACAGTTTGTTTCTTCTGTGTAGTGAGTCATTCTAGCACATTTCTGCATTGGATTGCTTCTAAGGTCAGAAGACTTTCTTTCACCTTTCCTCCAGTAACTCAAGGCAGGAGGGATGCTCACCATCTCCCCTTTTACTTCACAACAACCCTGCGAGGTGGGCCCATCCTGAGGGGGACAAAAGCTTGGATGAGTGAGTTGTCGGGAGCGGATTGACAGATTTCAATCTTGGGGGGATTTCTTACAAACTCCCAACTGGCTCCAGTGATAAGAAAACACAGCAGCTGCAGGCCGCTTGTTTTCCCAGGCTGTGGAAAACGCTCCATTGTTTCTAGCTGGTGCTTGCTCTGACTCAACTATCTGCAAAGGGCTTTCTCTGCTTGTTTTGTGATTAAAAAACAAAACAAAACACCACCGCCAAATCACCGCAACCTGTAAGGGTGTGCACCTTTGGAGGTAAAGGTGGCAGGCCTTTGCATGGGGAAAGGGGTCCATGCATAATTGAATTGAATTAAAATAACATCAAAAAGGTCGTCCAAAAAGCACACCAAAGAATGTTCTTTCTGGGCCAACTCAGAAAGCTCAAACTGCCCAAGGAGCTGTTCATACAGTTGTACAGAAGAATGATTGAGTCTATCATCTGCACCTCTATCACTGCCTGGTTTGGGTCTGCAACCCAACAAGACGGACACAGACTTCAGAGAGCAATTAGGATTGTAGAAAGAACAATTACTATCAACCTGCCTTCCATGGAAGACCTGTATACTGCAAGAGTCAAAAAGAAGGCTGTGAAAATATTTACAGATCCCTCACATCCCGGATATAAACTGTTTCAACTCCTTCCCTCAAAAGGGAAGGTGGACCTTTCTGCACACCAGAACAACTAGACACAAGGACAGTTTTTTTCCTGAAAACCATCTGCTAAACAAATAATTCCTTCAACCCTGTCCAACTATGATAAAGTCTGCACTACTATTACTGTTGATCTTCTCAACACTTATCACCCATCCCCTCCCACTTGTGATTGTAGGACTGTAACTTTGTCGCTTGTGTTCTTACGATTTATGTGGACTGTTTCCTAGTATGATTTTATTGCTTATTGTATCCTGTGACTAACATTAAGTGTTGTACGTTATGATTCTTGATTCTTAACGACTGTACCTTTTCTTTTATGTATGCTGAGAGTATTTGCACCAAAGACAAATTGCTTGTGTGTCCAATCACACTTGGCCAATAAAGAGTTCTATTGAATTCTTTGTTGTCACTGTACATATATACACAGTATACACATACAATGAAATTCACCTAACATCCAGAGACCAGACTCAACACGCATACATACATGACAATCCCCAAACACCTCCCCACCCGCCAAAATTCCCCGCCTCCTAAAAACACACAAGCATCCACACAACAGACCAAGTAATACTGTCCCTAAGCCCCTTACCCCAGCCCAGGGGCTCCAGGGAAGGAAACCTTGGTAGGTTCCAAGGGGGAATGGAGGGGGCAAAGGAGGTTGGTCCAGTCCAGCCCTCAAAGTCCTTCTTGATCTGAAAGGACTGTTTGGGACTCACCTCTCAACAGGTGAGAAGAAGGTTCCTGGCATAGAGAGAGGCTGGATGGATTGGGGGAGGTGGTTGCAAGAAAGAGGTGGTGGGGGTGGGTGGGGAGCTGGCTTGGGGAAAACTAGAGTTGGAGGGGACCTTGTAGGTCATCTAGTCCAACCCAAGCCGGAGACCCTACACCATTTCGGACAGATGGCAATCCAATCTCTTCTAGGTCCAAAACAGTTAGGGATAAATACGGAGAACTAACAGGGGCAAGAGAGAGAGCCCAAATCTTAGGAAAAGCAGAAAGGTCCACCTGGAGCCAGGAAGAGATCAAGTGCCCCTAAATGGGTAGATCTAAAAGTCTCTCTCTCTCTCTCTCTCTCTCTGTGTGTGTGTGTGTGTGTGTGTCTTAGCAATGAGAAGGGGGGCGAGCGATCCGAGCAGGCACGATCCGATCCGATCCGATCTCTCTTGGCCGGGCTCCCGCTTCGGGGGTGGGGCTCAGCCAGGCCCGGTTGGGGCGGCGAGAGGGAATTCTCGCCTGGCGGGGGCGTCCCTGGCGGTCGCGGGAGGCGCTGCGGGCGGGCGGGCGGAGTGGCGGGGGGGGGGGGGGGCGTGGAGGCAGCCACATGACCGGAGCGGGCCGCCTCCAGCTCCGCTCGGCTACAAATTGCAAGCCTGGCGGCGGCTGGAGCCACCGACCGTCTTGCTCGCTTTCCTGGGTTGCAGCTGCCACCTCCTCCTCCTCCTCCTCCGACGCCGCCACCGCTGCTCCTGGCGCGGGCATTGCATCGGCGGCCGCGTGGGCGCGATGGGCGTGCGGCGCTGGCTGCTGTTGCTGTTGCTGCTGCTGCTGCTGCTGTGCCTGGCGCTCGGCTCGGCCTCCGGAGGTGGGTGGCTCTTTTGGCCCGTGGGGAAGCGCCCACGGGGGCTGCTGCCGTCGGGGCGCCGTCTGCCCGGGGGATGGAGACCCTGGCAGGCGGGCTGGCAGAGGCAAAGACGGTCCCCCTCGACCTGCCTCCAGCGAAGGCACCGCCTGCTCGCCTCAGCTCCCGGCCGGCCGGCTGGCCGCTCTTCCTCTCCTCTCTCCCCCGTCCCGCGGAGGGCAAAAGGGAGCCGGGGACAGCCTGGGTGGGAAGGAAGGAGGGAGCCGTCCCGCTTCCAGCCCAGCTCCTCTTGCATGGTCTAGGACGGCTCTCCTGCCCGAGCCAGGCGTGGGGGCTGGACTAGAAGACCTCCAAGGTCCCTTTCAGCTCTTAACTCTCTTCTTGCTGCTTCCAAAGGGCCTGTAAAAAGAGGAGTCTCGACCTGTTGAATGCCTGCCTTTCGCGGGATTGGGGAAGGGAGCGGGGACCGGGCTTGGAAAGGGGAAGGCAGACTCCGAGCGGGCGGCGGGGACTCCAGCAGGCACCTGCGGCGCAGCCAGGTAACGGGGGAAGCCCGTCCCGGAGGGAGACGCGGGCGCCGGCCCAGCGGAGCCAGACACGTCCCTCTCTTGGCGATGGGGCCAGGAATAGGGCGGCTCTCCTCCCGGGCTCGTTGCAGCTGGAGGAAAGCTCCGCCGGTCCTAGAGACAAGCTAGAACAACAGAGTTGGAAGGGGCCTTGGAGGTCATCTAGTCCCACCCACCCCGCTCCAGCAGGTGAGTCTATGCCAAAGATCAGTCTCTACCTAGGATCGAACTCACAGCCTCCTGATTGTCAGGCGAGAGCTCCACTTGCGGGGTAAGCGGGGGTGGGGAATGCCAGGCGGGCCTGGGATCGGCCTTAGCGAGAACCCGGGTGTGGGGGGAAGGTACCTCTGAGCCTGTGCAGAGCGCGCTCGGCGCGTTCCTTCCGCGCGCGTGCCTTGGAGGGAGGCGGAAAGCCTGGACCGCCAAGCCTCCTGTTTTCTCCTTCCCTCCTTCGTCGTTTCGCTTTTGTGACCTTCACGCCCTTCGCCCGGCTCTCTTCTCCGACCTTTCGATCCCTCCTCCACGCCGTTGCTATGTTTGGGATCCCCCGGCGATCCTTTTTTTTTTTTTTTTTGACCAGGCGCTTCGCGACAGAAGCTGCAGCGATGGAGATGAAACGCGCCCATTGCGCGCCGGCCTTTCCAAAGCAATTTGAGGGGGCGGGGGGGTGGTCACAGCACGCCACCCTTGCCTGGGAGGCCTTTGGCGTGTGTGTGTCTGTGTGTGTGTGTGTCTGTGTCTGTGTCCGTGTGTGTCCTTTTCCTCTGCTGGCTCCTGTCACTCAAGGTGGAGGATCGCAAGCTGGCATGCGGGACGCATCGCAATCCTTCACTGAATGTGCCCCCCTGTGTCGGATTTCAAATGTGCTGCGTAAATATGCCACTTAGAATTCTAACCCGTTCCAGTCCCTGTGCATTTTTCACGCTGGCCCAGTTTGGACTGTCTGATTGATGTTAAGCTTGGTTAAAAAAGACAGCTAGGATTTCACCTGGGCAGGTGACTCTCCTTCCCCCTAACTCTTTTATGTTTCTCCACACAGCCGGAATCCAAATTCATCTTGGGGCTGATTACAGTTTAGCATTTGGGAGAGGGGGGACGTGTGAGAAAGGATCAGAATTGGCACACTTTTAAGATTTCAAACCCCTGCTTGAAGTTAGTTGCCTTTAAAAGTCCCAGCTGGTTCCCAGCCCATTTTCCTAGAGTGGATGAAATAGAATAATGTATTTAATTAAAGGTATCATTGGAGATTTCCGCTTTGTCTGGCTTGGTCCTGCGAGGCTGAGGAAAGATGAACAATGCGAGATTTTTAAAAATGTATATCTTAATGTTAAACTAAGATAAAGGTGGGGAAAGGTGAATGGGTGGGGAAATCTTATTAGAATTAAATAGCAATATATCTGATGTGTTCTGGATTATTTAAGAATGTTTGTGCCAGACCTTTACATTGGCGCAAACAAAGTCCTTGTTTAATGACTGCCTTATTTAATGACCAGTCGCAGTTGTGACAGTGACGAAAAGATAACCTTAAAAACCAATCTTCTCATGTATAAAGCTGAAGTAAAATGGCAGTGTTTTAATTTAATTAATTAGGGACTGCTTTGCTTAGTGACCTAGTCCCAGTTGTCGCTAAACAAGGACTACCCGTATTGCAACGACTCCTATTTTGCAAACGAGGAAGTGAATGAATAGTAGAAGTGAGAGATGAACTCGGGGACCTGCCTGGTTGCTGTATTCCTGCAAGGGCTTACTTGTGTGTAAATCCCACCAGATGTAGTAATTGGGCACTGATCTCTTTTCTCCAAAGTCCTTGGCTGGCTTTTTATAGCTGGCTTCTCTGATAGAGAAAGGTGGCCCTTTGGAATTTGGGCACAAAATGATCGGGAGTTGCAGCACTCAAAAACTGGGTGGTTCAGAATCCCGGCTGCCAGGAGGAAGAAACAGCATTTGAAGCAGAAGAGAAAAAGGGTTGGATTTTAGTCCAGGGTTGGGAAAAAAAACACAAAAGTGATATAAATGTGATACTTAACAAGGAAAAACAGGATATTTTTGCATGCGGCGAGGCCAGCAAACTCCTGCATTAGCAAGTCCTTGCAACAGGCTCTCCAAATCTTTGCTGGTCAGCCTGTGCAGACGAGGCCTTGGCTTGTGAAAACCTGCTGGATTCCGTGCAGGGTTCCCCCTTGGGGTGCGGTTGTGGGCCTGCCTCTGTCTTTCAGCAAAGCTGCCCTGTTGTAGCTTGGAGTTGCAAAGCAAGAGTAAGGGGCCTTGGTATTTGTGACCTGGCTTGGAACAGGTCACGGCTGATTTCTCTCAGGCAGCCTTGCCTTGCCTTCAGACCAGTGGTCAGATTCAAAAATATTTTTTTACTACCAGTTCTGTGGGCGTGGCTTGGTGAACGTGGCAGGGGAAGGATAGTGTAAAATCTCCAATCAGACGTGATATTTTCCGGTTCTCCGAACTACTCAAAATGTCCACTACCGGTTCTCCAGAACTGGTCAGAACCTGCTGAATACGCACCTCTGCTTCAGACCAAGCTTGGTTGAAGATGGTTGAGATATAACTCCTGTGACAGAATAACAGAGTTGGAAGGGACCTTGGAGGTCTTCTAGTCCAACCCCCTGCTTGGGCAGGAAACCCTACATCACTTCAGACAAATGATTATCCAGAATCTTTTTTAAAAACTTCCAGTGTTGGAGCATTTACAACTTCTGGAGGCAAGTTGTTCCACTGGTTAATTGTTCTCACTGTCAGGAAATTTCTCCTTAGTTCTAAGTTGCTTCTTTCCTTGATTAGTTTCCACCCATTGCTTCTTGTCCTGCCCTCAGGTGCTTTGGAGAATAGCTTGACTCCCTCTTCTTTGTGGCAGCCCCTGAGAGATTGGAACACTGCTATCATGTCTTCTTCTAGTCTTCTTTTCATCAAACTAGACATACCCAGTTCCAGCAACCGTTCTTCATATGTTTTGGCCTCCAATTACCCTAATCCTCTTTGTTGCTCTTCTCTGCACTCTTTCTAGAGTCTCACCATCCTTTTTTACATCGTGGTGACCAAAAAGGGACGCACTATCCCATTTCCTATAGGTTTGAAAGCGCCAGCATTGGAGGGCTATTAAAGGTTCCGGCTTATTAATTAAAATGGGTTGATGATGTGCTGAATGAAGAGGCTCCCTCCTGTGGCTTCAGAGGGAGGTGAGAAACGCCTGCACATGATGTACATTTGAACAGAGTGAATCAGGGCACGGGTGTCTGTCTGCAGGAGGCAAGGAAGGGCGAGTAATGCCCCCAAACATCTCGTAGCATTGCACAAACGGCACACATTATGTAATTTGCCTGACGTGACACACGTGTGTGTGTGTGTGTGTGTGTGAGATCCCTGGGGCTTGTGCCAGGCAGGTGGGGGGGCAGGAAGAGAGAGGACATTCTATGGGCTGTGAATTTGGGAGGGCACCCTAGAATTTTTTTTTCCAGGACCCCAAGCTTTCAACCCTCAGGAAGATGCACAAGGCTGTGGGGTTTGATGTCTCGTCACAGTTCCAGGTCACGTTTGCAAAAACCATGAAGAAATCTACAGCTCTTTGAAGGACTTGAAAGATGGAGGAGTCTAATCCACACAAAGGCTTAACCCCTTCACAAAACTGGTTCGTCTTTACGGTGTTGCAAGTCTTGTTAGTTTAAGCCGCTTTCGTCCAGGGAGCTTAAAAGTTTGGAGGGTGAAAGTGCGCGTAATTGGGAGTTGCACCTTCTAACGCAGCTTAGCATGGAACAAGAGGGTGATTGGATTGCTGTAGATCAGGTTGGATTCACACCAGAGGTGGTCTTCAGCCGGTTCTGACCAGTTCTGGAGAACTGGCAAGGGAAATTTTGAGTAGTCTGGAGAACCGGCAAATCCCACCTCTGACTGGCCCCACCAACCCCATCTATTCTCTGCCTCCAGAGTCCCAGCTGATTGTCTGGGTCTTCTTTTGTTGCCTTGCACAGGAGAACGGAGCTGGAAAGCAGGTTAGTGGGGTGGGGAGGGAATGGGGATTTTGCAGTATCCTTCCCCTGCCACGTTCACCACGCCTACCAAGACATGCCACACTCACCAAGCCACGCCCACAGAACCAGTAGTAAAAATTTTTGAATCCCACCACTGACTTACACGCCACATTAACCAGCTCTCTTTGGCTTTCACAAAGCCTGTTAGGGGAACTCGGCTAATGGTGGCTTATTTATTCAGTCAACCATGGGCTAAGTCATTGCTTAGTGTGAATCTGTCACTATATACAGGGTGATACAGTTGCTTTCATGCTCCCTTCTTAGCAGTGGTGGGATTCAAAAATTTTTTACTACCGGTTTTGTGGGTGTAGCTTGGTGGGTGTGGCAGGGGAAGGATAGTGCAAAATCCCCATTCCCTCCCCACCCCACCAACCTGCTTTCCAGCTCCGTTTTCCTGTGC